GTATGAAGTTAGGTTATTGCGGACGTCGGAGTTGCTGTTCGGAGGTAGTGCTATATATATATATATATATATATATATAGGCATATATACCGGTATATCTTGAAGCGGCAATGCTTTACTTATGCAATATTAAATATTCCTATTGGATAACTCCGCCTTTGCTCTCAACTTTGTCTCTTAACTCTAAGTACGTGGGCCTAAATAGCTTTAAAACGATATATAACGACGTGAGAAAGACGCCATGGCCTAGACTTTTGGGCCTTTATCTATTTGCAGTGGATCAAGAACTAGCGCTGTTCCACTACGAATGTACAGAAAATGTTGTTTCCAATCGGATTCGAATTTAAAGGCCATCAGACCATTTGTTATACAGATTTCGAATCTCGTGGGGAAACGTCTTTCCACACGCACAGATTCTTCTTCATTTTTAGTCTTCAACATTGAAAAAGTAGACACTATTATAAAATCACCCCAAGAGTTGAGTTTATCTCTTTATTTTAATATATATATATATATATATATATATATATATATATATATGTATATATGTATATGTATAGGCCTATATATGTATGTATGTATTATAATGTAAACTTTAAAGAGAAACGTACGGGAGTAGAATGTCGCATCGACCTGGAATTGAACCCCGTGCCAACATACAGTAAAAATCTCGGGTATGGACCACAAAATTGATTAAAGTGTAACTACCCATAATAGGTATCGAGAAATATGGTCATAGCTAGGTATTTGGGTCTCTGGCGTTTAACCTACATATGGTTTTATACATTATTCAACCCACATAATATATATATATTTTTTATTATTAACTACTCTATATACTGCATCTGACTTGGTATTCTGATTAGAGTAGGCATATAGCAACGAATATTCTGTAACTGTTTTATGAAAATTGCTTACTCGATTTTCTGTAACATAATCAGCAATATTTTTAATATTTAGGTTATGACAGAGGCATCAGCTGTTGAAAAGTGGAGGTGGACTTAAGTTCTTGCTCATCAGAAATTCAAGATGAATAATAGAAGGACATATGATAGATATGATGCACTTTAGAGTTCAGAAACATTAATGGGAGCCGAAGGTATGCTGAATTCGAACACTACAAACATTTTAAGATGTGTTTGTTGTTTCCTATCGATTATGCTACCAACTGACTGTTGAGCTAATAATTAAGATAATAATAATAATTAGATTTAAGTAAGAACAAATCAATATAGGCCTACTTGCCGCCAGTTAACCAACACAGGGTAAATACTGTTATTCGTAATATTTGTAGTCATTTACGTATTTTTTTCGTAAAATAAGTAAATCAGATTGAAATAATAATAATGCTGTTCCTTAATTCATTGTTTGTATAGCCCCAATTAACAAAACTTTTCGTAATAAAATAATTGTGTAAGCGAAAATATAACTGTTTCGATATTTCAAAACATTTCAATTGAAAGTGATTTAACTTATTTGATTCTTTTTAATTTACGTTTGTAATCACTTTAAAAAGGTAGGGTTTGTCAGATTTTAACACACAGTATGTCTTTAATAGGCTGATCCACAGTATGTCTTTAATAGGCTATATTATTTAAGCTGACAAAACTTTCCAGGTACACAAGAGATACAGTAGGTGTACTTTATTCAGGTAAGCCATTTGGACTTTTTAGCTACCTTAATCATGATATGGTTTTTCTGAGCCACTCCCTACCGTTTCAGAACCAAACCGCACAGGTAAAACTTTAGTTGTTTCGTGAGGCACTACTACTTAAAGATACCAAGTTCTTCTCTCTTTCTAGGCATGAACTTTCCGTTCAGATGAGTAAGCAGGTGGCATGTCCTAGCCTTTGTGAACCCTGTCCACTAACCTCTAGAGAATCTCATGACTTGATATTTTTCTGCCCCCACGGCCTACACTGGCTGGAATTACGCATTGACAAAGTGTTTGACATGGGCATCGCTAATTAATTGAACAAGATATTCAGCAGTCAGTGCTTATTAAACCCGACAACAACTGACTATACAATCCGGTTGTCATCTACCAGAGATAGATTTTATCGTTTACTTTTTGACTTTTTGGCAAAAAGACATTATAATGTTTAACCATGTGGGAAATTAATAATTGTAAATCACATTACAATACAATCTTCAGACATTAGCTATAATTAGAATAGAGTGTCAAAGCCGTGTCTGCTGATGAGAAAGGACACTAAATATTTATTAGAAATTTATGCAGAAAAATTCATAAAAACATATTCATAGAATAAAAATTGGAAAATTTTCAAAATGGATATAAAAAAAAATCACATTTTAAAATGCAGCAATTTCAATAAGCGAAAACAACTTACATTTTATGTGGCGAATAAAGATATTTTGGGCCACCCGTTTCGGCAATGAATTATCAACTTCTAACATTTAAGCTGTAATTTGTTGATAGGCCTAAACCAAATCTATTCTATAAGTCAACTTGAAGGGAATTTTAAAAATATATTATATAGAAGTACTATTTTAAGATGTACTTATTAACAGATATAAAGTAAAAGAAAACCTGTTGACTTCAGGACAATCAAGCATGAAATTCCAGGATCTACTAAAGACCTAGTCCCTGATATTGATGTAAAGAATTGTAAACCCATTGCATTAAAAAAAAATCCCTTAAATGATATTGAACTTCCTACCTTAATGATTTAATGAAATTATGCCAATTCAATTTCTGAAAGCATTTAAAAATAATGTTTCACTCATTGTCTAAAATAAGTGTTTACAAATTGAATTGAAACGTTCAAAATTCCCAAATGTTAACAAATCCACATTAACATTTAACATAAAATAAATGTATTTAAAATGAATTCTGGCTTAAAATAAGCCAGAATAAGCTTTATGAAAAGATTAACAAGTTAAAAAAAAAAAGACCAAAAGCAAATATTCTGCAAATATTGTTGTAATATATTTGTTTTAGGCAAAAACAAATATATAATTACATACATAATTTAAAGCTTAGCCTTTACACCACTAAAACTTATTGTAAGAATTGATTAAATCATATGTAGCAAACTATTTACAGCAAACTTGGATTAACTTTTAAAACTATCATAAGACGACGGTGAAAATAGTACAGTAGTTAGGCAAGAGCAAGGCTAAGTTAAGTAAACAAGAATACACAAGCCCTAGATTACATAATTTTGAAATAATTACATCAAATGAAACTAATTAAACACAGAAACTAATATTCTACTAAAACCTTAATTTTATAAACATATAAGTTTAATAAATAAAAAATATTTATACTTAATTTTGTAAGAAAAAGGTATCAAAATCAATCTAACTTGTATATAGAATAAATATCCTAGCCGGAAAAAAACAGCATGCCAAGTTTTAACGAGTACATACCCACGTTTAAAAAGTGAAGTATCCCTATGACAGGAGAAATGTCTCGGAAGAATAACTGTACACTAAACCTGAAGAGCGATGTACATAGGTTCACAGCTGTATCCAACACTGCCAATCAGGTCTGTATGACCAGACCTTCTCATCCCCTGCACCCTCAACAGTTTGACCTCAATGAACCCATCCCCTTCCCATCCAGCAACAACCTGTTCAAACCTAACCACCTAGTGCAGTCTTTCTTTTTCCTCGCTTGCAAACCTTTGCTGGTCAAATGAAAAACTGTTTCAACCTGTTTGGAACATCTCTCAACAGCTATTGTAAAATAGTTTAACGATACTTTCACAATATTTTATTAATTTTGAATACTCCATGGCCAAATTTGGATGCCAACTCGCATAAAATGTCACCGCTTCGGACCACAGTTTCTGAATTATAATTTTGTGACACAACTATTGTGTGAGCTCGTTTACAATACATAAAACAGACCCAGTAAGGTTGTGATTCAATCGGACAGTTGGCATGGCATTGTCCCTTACCATGTCACTGGTCCGAGCCTTCGTGTCATCATTGGCACAGACTCAACATGACAATCCTAAAATTAATGCTTAATTTTTTACAGAACACGATAAACGGTTTAACAATAAAACAAGTTCAATCTCTGTTTTACAATTTGTTTAATAAAGATGTTCAACTCCCGTTCAACTCTTCTACCAGGAAAATATTTTAAAGATAAAAGAATTAAAGATGGATTTTTTGTCCAAGACAAAAACTATAAATTATATAGTGTAACATTATTTTCTAAATCAGCTAGCAGCAATATTTTATCATGTTACAATTGAAAGCATTAAGCGAATTTAAATGATCCACAAAATAATTTCAATATGTAAGATTAAATAACTAAAATAAAACTATTACATCATATAAATTATACAAACAGTAAAAAAAATTATTTAAAAAAAAAAATAGTAAAAATATTAAGACATTTTAAAAACTTTTAAGTAATGTTGCTACTCATCTTAAATTACTAATAGTTAATCCATTTGATTCATACCATATAACACAGTATCATTAATAAATAAAAAATAACAATCAGTAATTCTATGCATGCAAGTGTATTCATATTATCCTAAAAATTTCAAACATTAAAATGATTTTACTAAACATGCCTAAGTTCTTAGCTCAAAGGTCCTTGATTTTGTTAGCTTGGCTTCTAAGATAGTTGAGATAAACTCAACATCATTAACAGGAACCCTTACACAAGAAAACATGTTCACCGTCTCTCATCCACAAAGCATTAAGCATACGTATGCATATCAATATAAACAATAAGTTCTATATGATAGCTATCTTATTGTTTTTGTATATAACATAGAAGAAAATGTACAAAAAAGTATTTTTATATAACTTACTCTAATTTAATACACACACCTGTTAAAATTTCTTGTAGGGATTACATTTTAGCATGCCTCTAATTAATGCTTCTTGGTGAAAACCACAAACATGAGATAGCTAATTATATCACCAGCAGTTATTATAATTCCTCAGTTTAATATCTACCATACCGTTACTACCATCACTAATATAATAAATCTAATTAATATAACCATTAATTATTTTGTTAATTTTGAGAAAACGCAATGTAATAACAGGATTTGTAGTGTACATATTCATTTGGCAAAAGGAATACTCAAAGCACATACCAAAAGCAGGTCACATTTAGACTGATAACATTTTATTAAATTTCTTAATGATTTTCAAAAACTAATATATAGTATGAAATTTAAAACTTAAGTTGATGTTACTATAAACGACGTTTTAAAATTCATTATAAATGTTCTCTTTGTTTAATGAACTGACAGACTGTTGGATGACTTTAAAGGTTTATCCAATGTTAGTGACAGTTGTAGAAATAGACATTCACTGATGCAGCCTACTTTTCTTCTTCACTGTCCACTTCAGATGCTTCCCGTTTCAGTGAAATAAATTAGCAATTATTAACAAACCAATCAAAAAACTGGACTTTAAATTCGAATTTAAATGACGCTCTATCACTAATCAAATCCTAATTGCAGCTATTCTATTAGTTTTGGACTTCAGGTGATTTTGCGGCCGTTGAAATATATATTGCAATTCCATATACTTTACTATTATCTAAGCCAACATTTCTACTGTATACCCTTTTACCCTCTTAGTCAAAGAAAAAAAATCACAAGATTTGTAAATTAAAACTAAAAATGTTTGTTTCAAGAATTTAGGTCTATTACTAGTATGAAATTTTCAATGGCAACTAGTTCAATGTCTGAATATTTAGGAATTTTTTTTTTCTATTAGTAAATATGAAAACACATACTAATAAATATTATCAATATATTGTATTAATAGATTCACATTATACCATATCAAAGGCAAATTTGGCTGTGTTTATGAATATTCTCATCCATTCAGAAAAAGGTTGGCTACGGTACACAAGAAATTATTTAATTTAAAATACAATATAGATAAATGCATTCTAGCAGCATTTGACCATATGGGCATGCTAGGATTTAATATACAAGTGATGTCTGTTAAGGAGTTACTTAGGAAACAAAACACTGGATTTGGTCAGACTTATACTTCCTGATTGATTGAACCTTTTAACCTTGACTGTATTCCCCAAACAAAAATGGAAGACTCCAAAGATTTGTAGGATCATAAAAATATAGAATTCTATAAAGGTTTGATTCAATATATAACAAAGGGGTGTCTATTATCAGAACATTAAATTTTCATCACAAGAGTCTTTGTGTATAAATAATACAAAGCAACTCTTCAGATCCATTACTGATCAATTCACAAAAGGTAACAGTGGCACTCTACTAACAAATTATAAGCAACATTATCATTATTCTTACATATCACTTTACATGAAAGATTGCAGATTGAACTTTATGTACTATAGGAATCTTTTAAATACTATTATGGTCGGTATTATACTGTACTTACAATAGGTAAATATAAGTAATTATGTAGTAAGGCAAGTCCATTTCAGATACTGTATATGGTACAGACTAATATGATGTTGATATTTGTAGTAGTCTACCAACCATTTTGTCAGCCTTTTTCTTACCCCCGGCCCCTTAATTTTTCCTACAAAAAGAAGTCTGCAACATACATTATTATATAGCTAGAACTATATGTCTGGTGAAAATATCAATGGCTTATATAAATGTTCAAACTCCTGCAGAATTTTTCTTTATAAATGTAAAAAAGGGAAGTGGAACACGAAGAGAAAACATTTTTTTTTCAATTTAGACTTAAATTAAGTAAAGTAAATTAATTTACAGACATCTTGTCTATAGCATTAATTGTTGATCACTATTTTTGATAAATATTCATAAAACAATGCTGCATAATATGTATATTATGCAGATAAGTGAAAACTAAAGTTTCACATTTCAATATAATAACTTTACATGGTTACATGATTATCCTTCCTAATCCATGTACGGTTGCAACGGCCGCAGGACGATTATTTAAATTTGGACGCAGAAAGAAGTCAATGACATTGGGGGCATCAGAGGCGCTTACAGCATTAGATGTATCAACTTGGGGGCGTTGCACCTTCCTTAGCACCTACACCTCAAGTGGGTGTCATGTTTACTGTTATCATCCAGATCTAACTGGTAACTGTGATCAGTCAATTCCATCTTACTTCCATTTAATGTATTGCTTTGTATTTGATGAAGAGATTGTACATAACTCGAACGGTGGATTTTAAATCTTTGTGTACAATATCTAAAAGAGAAGAAAGGATATAAATTAGTAATCATTCTTTTCTTATTTAAATCTTATGTGTATATATATATTTCTATTGTTAAATTTAAGTGTCAACATTTCTAGGTCAAGCCGTTCATGATTGGTAAATATATTTTGGTCTATGGCATGAGGGCATATCTTTGATTAACATATTCATGATATCATATACAATTAATCAAGACATTTTTTCATGGTATAAAATTATTCATTTAATGTAATCTAACATGCTAAATATTTTAAAACGTTTCCCTTAAGGCATATTACTGATTTGAAGATTTGGGAATTCAATTATTTGAATGAAGGAAAATAAGTCGGGTGAGGTTACTGTTTAGTATTCAATTCTGGGGTGAATGTTTTGTAGTTGGATGCCATATATTCTAATTTTTGGAATGGCTAATATTTATAATTTTTATTTTGAAATAACTAAGTACCGCTACATTATAGACCGTCACACTTCTACTAGTTATTTTTTCAAATACTACAGTACCACCCTCTATACAGTATTCATAATTATAATACATAACTCTAACATACCTTTTCAAGGTATTGCTTAATTATTGCTTCCCCTCTTAACTACATCAACCCAGGGGCAGATTTAGGGGGAGAAATGAAAAAAAAAGAAAGAAAGAAAAAGAAAAAAATGATCGCCCCAAAACGCCTCAGAGGTTATTTTCAGGCGTCTAGAAAACAAAAATTTCTTGGACCTCCTAGGTTGATTTTATCTGGATCCCCCTCCCCCCATTTCGGACATCTGCAACCCTCTCATAGATCTATAATTATGTACCCTTCTTTTAGTCCGATTCCTCAATTATAGCCTCCCCCTCCTTGAGGTATTCCTCAGGCATTACACCCCTCATCTTCATGTTACAACAGCAAACAATTTTAGACTAGAAGCAGGTAAAGGTGAACATTATCTTATCTAACTATACAGTGACAGTCCCACACATGTCATGTCAGAATTCAGTGTGAACATGCATTCATCCAGCTAAACATATTAAACATTCCGAGCCCTCATCTTGCGATTGGTTGTATCACATGAATGAATGGGACTGCCACTTAAGCGCTAACATATCAGCATTCAAACATTAAAACATTCATCATATCCAAGCTTGTGGTTTCATATTTAATATCATTTTTTATAAACATGTTAAACACATCAGATTTCAAATATCTGTTGAAAAAAGATATCAAACAGACAGCAATCACAAACCCTGTGGAAGCAAGGTGATAGTTAGATGGCTTTACCATGCTTCAAATCAATTTGGCATTCACATAACACTTTATCTATTGCTTGCCATTAGCGCTACAGCCTAAAAGCTAATGGCTAGGTCTATGCTGTCTATAGAGGGCGATACAGTAAATTAATGTGATGTCACAACATGACAATATCAGATTTTTGCTTGGTTTACCAGAAATCTAATTTTCATATCGAAACACAAAAAGAACTTAATATTTAAAGAAAACCATACTTATTGAATGATTGACTCAGAATATTTGCTGATAAAAAAAACAATTCAAAATATTTTAATTTTTGTAGAAAATCTGAAGATGAGAGAAGATAGAATAAAAGAAAGAGTGAAAAAAAATCATATTCAGAGTGAACATTTGAAAGATATTTATCATTGGATTGCGTTTCTTTAGAGCTAGATACAAGCATAACCCACAATATTAAGAAGACTTATTTCTAGTTGGGTCTTTCTGGTGGCGAATTGGGCAGCACACTAAGAGATCGTCCCGACATGTTTCCAAAGAGTGTACTGCGTTCTTTAATGTGCACAGGAGACATAATGCTCATTTGAGAAACGGTGTGTTAATTATTTATTGCATTTCTACCTTCCAGCTGAAACACAAGGACACCAGCAGATAGAATTAACAGAGGACCAAAGCTTGTTTTTTTAATTGAATATACAAATAATTAATTAATTTATTATTCTCAGTCATAATGTTATTTGTAGAATATGTAAATAAAACTAAATAAAAAAATGGGGAAAGAATGTTAATACTAAGGACACAACAACTTGGGAAATGGTATGAGTGCTAGCTATGGCTACTATGAAAACATGTTAATGTAACTAATGACACAAGTTAATGTAACTATGGAAACAGGTTAATGTAACTATTAAAACATTTAGGGATTGTAACACCATAGAGCATGCTGTTAGACTACATGCCTGATATGAGACAACACATACAAATTTATCTGAATCTTTCTGAAGCAAAACAATCATTCAATTAAATTTATACTCAATATGAATAAAAATTAAATTAAAAACATTTAATTTAAAAAAAATATTATTTAATTATTAAATTAATATATGAAAATTTGATTTTTAATTTACTCTTTAGAATCTTTTGAACATGACTGTTTATACTTCAGTAGGTTCAGACTAATTATATAGTGTTGCTATGGAGACCTGGACAGTTCAAAGGGTAATGTCTGCTTCCTTATACTTAAGAAACATGGTGTAAAGAATGCGCAGAGTAGACTTGAGATGATACTGAACAACGTCTGCAGAAGATCCAGAAATTTAACAACAGAAAAATAATGAAGAGTAAAACAAATCATAATACAATAATATTGAAAAGAATATATAGAATAGATTAGCATAAATTAAAAATTTAAAAATGTAAATTTTTTTCCCTGGCAACATTTCAGTCTGAGTACATGTTTTTGTAAGCAGGTACAGTATCTGATTGGTTGACTTCACCACCATTGACTATATAAGGTAATGTAGTTAAGAATGACACATAGCATTGGGATGCTGGTTTCAAAATTATCTCCAGGGAGTTTGTGATGCCATAAAATTTATTTTTATAAATACTTCCGTCATAAACAAAGTACAATTGTACCATACTTGTGGCAGGAGTCAAATGATTAAATATAGGTTAATACTTCTTAGCATAAATTATAGTGTTGGAGAACCACCAATCAGGAAAGAGCAGTAAAGTGAAACCAGATTGTGTGATGTTGTATTGCAGAAGAGTTAAAAGAAAACATGAAATTTAGTTGCCAGGTATTTCATTTATTTTTCACCAAAATTATTGAAAGCTTGATTAAAGATAAAAAAGTGATGTAACTGACAGCTTTTAAGTTTGTTTAAGAAATGAAAGTAAAATCAGGTTTCAGGTTAATTTATGAATGAATGGAAAATCAAATGATGAACAATTAGTACAAAATTGAAAATGGTCACAATTAATTTAATGAAATATGTACTTGATGAGATGAAATATGGGGGAAATAGCAGTTATCTAAAATGTTAAATGATTGGTACCATTATACTGGATTATTAAGAAATGATTTATATATTACATACCAAAATAAGACAAAAACAAATTTACAAAGAAAATATATGTATACATAATATAAGATATAATATGATACAATATTATAATAATAATCATTATTACTATAAAAGATATCAAATCAAATACAATTATGGTTAGTAAACAATTGAAAATGATAAATGTAAATAAACCAGAATGAAATAAAATAATGTTATAAAAAAATGTTATAGTGATATTAAAGACATGTTGAAAAAACTTGAAAACCCTCAAAAATAAAAATGATAAGTGATCAGGAGAAAACTGAAATGAAATAATTCAGTAAACAAATTAAAGCAATTTATAATAATTATAGATTAAAATTATTTATACTAAATACACTCTTTTCTATATGAATTAAAGACACAAGAAAACAAAACTTTTAAAATATTGAATGTTTTTCAAATATAATTACATTGATCATTACTATAGATTACAGTAGTTGTGTCGTCACAACTCTAGGTGGCGCTCGCTTGTGTCAACCAGATGTTGGTTACTGTTCATTACGTCTGAATGACTTCATAATTTTAATGGTTTAAGAATAGGCTTTCTGGAATAGGCATTTTAAAACCTAATAATTTACCATCAGAATGTACTAAAAACACAAAAAGCTTGCATTATATTAGTTACCGAATACACATTGAATCATCTATTAACATTTACAAAGAAAAATTAAGATACAACTTCTTAATAATTACATTAGAAATTGGGATCAATGGTGTGTCAGTTGAGAAAATGGCGTTGGTTGAACGCATTTGTATCATTGATAGCAATGGGGTAGTAGCACGTGGTATCGTGACGTAACACTGTAGTACTCTATAGGTTTATATAAACCAAATATTCTTAAATAATCCAAGAAATGAGCATTTAAGGCCAATGAGTGAGCCACCATTAAAACAGATGAACTAAGCTAGAGAAAGAAAAGCATGTTATCCTACACACATATATAAATTCTTACACATAAAAATTTGTACAATGAACACCAGTTAACAAAGAAAAATACTAAGTTTACTGAGTAAACATACTCAATCCTATCATTCCTTTACACCAAATTATAAATCATCATATGCTAACTTTAAGACAATGACAAAAATTTAAAATAATTAAAGATGAACAGCCAGTTATCAACTAAAAATACCAGAAAGCTAAGGTAGGCCTTATGGAAGTAGAAAATAAATATAGAATAAGAAACATAAAAAGAATCAAGAGGGAAAAATGAGAGCTGAATACAGTAGCTAGCTAAAGCCTTATAGTCTGCCATATTATTGATTTTATATTATCACCAATATGGAAATTACAGTTCATGTTGCAACCTAGTTCTAGTTATCGTTTAAAGCAGATGTCCTGCATCTTCATGTCGTTTTTTCCAAAGGGCACTACATTCATCCTCTTAAAATGTAAACAACCTGAACTCCGAGTCTTTGTTGTGATCAATGCAAGTCTGTTGGTGGTTAGACAGTGTTGTGTATACAACATTGACAGAGCCACGTAGAATCAACATTACTCATTCATATCACCAGAAGGTAGGATTCATGTATACCCTTAGGCCATCAAATCATACATTAAAAAATGTTCACAGTTGCATTTAACAGAATTAATCATTTTTTCCTCTGTAATCCAATGCTGATTGTGACAATATGAATATGATGGAGACAAACAAACCATGGATAAAAGATAATCTTGTGATGAATTTGTAGAATGATACAAGTTTTGTAAAATGACACAAGTCTTCGTAAAATGATACGAGTAGAATGATTACAAAGGCAATTTAGATGAAACTATAAATTATTTAAAAAAAATAACTACACCTTCTGGCCTTGCCTTGGGTCGGCTCAATCCTGCATCTTCCATTAATTCCAAAGATAGAGCGACATTGTGTACCTGAAAAATTTACACAATAAGATCGATAATTGTTATTTTTAATCAAAAATGTGAATGCAATTTATGATGAAATATCAGTATTTGAATTATTTAAGTGCTTTGAGATATGATCAATGAAATATTTTATTTTCAGGTCACTCCTTGCAATAAATTACGATTTTGTGAATAATAATTTGTGTGCATACATAAAAAAAATTATGAGGAAATTCACTGTCACTCTCAAGCGAACATCGACGAATAAATTTAATTGTCCCATTAACATATTTGTGAACATTTTTATTATGTAATAACATGAAAAGAATATATAACACCTCAAATCAACAGATCATTTTTAATTAAGATTCTTAACAAAATCCTTTAATACATTCATAGACAATTTGCTTCTTGGATAAAAACCTCAATTACAGTAACACCAATGCCACTTTCTCTACATCTAACATCTAGTTTAGGTGTCTTTTTCACTGAGGAAAAATAAATAATACAATTCTATCCCTCTCTACATTTGAATTTTCTATATAGACACATTCTGAAGATGCATTTTATATTAGCCCCAATCTACTGTATTATTGTTTACTCCAAGTTGTCTACTTCTTTAGCAATCTACTTATTCTGCGTTTATTAATGACAGACAGTAGCCTACCTTTTGCTCAAATGTCTCCGGGGTCATGTGATAACTATACATCGGTACAAAGTATCCTTCTAGTAGTCCCATCAGGAGGATGAAGTACACACCATCATGAAATTGCTCCTCTAGATCTGTCACATCTAAGTTTATTTTGTTCAAATGTTTATTTGCGAAGGTTACTAGTGACTGTTGAAGAGACAGCATTTTCATAAATATTCTTAGTACAATTATTATTACACTAATAATTGTAATATTAATATTATTGCTATTGTTCATAATTCAAAGCCGACAGCAGAAAAACGATTCTTCAATAACAGAAGAAATGTACTGTACTGTAAATACTGTACATTTTCAGACCAAGAAAATTTGCTTACATTATATTGAAGGATATAATCTATTAAGGTGACATATATAAGATGTCTATTATATATCATTCCCCATTAGTTTGATTGTTGAAGAGCAATAAAAAGTTTAGCATTTCCTAGGATGTCATAATTGGAAATCCATTAACCATCAAGCTCAACCCATTACATTTATAAAATGATATTCAAATTAAGTAACGGCATCTAAAAAATAGAAAATAAACCCAAATGGCTACCTAAAAATGCTGAAATTCACTTCTTGGCAGTTTTAACTGAAATCACATTATAAATTAAGTTATAACTCCATACTAAAATTTGTCAGTCATTTATTTTTTATTAAAAAAAAATATTTCAAAATCTTGGCATATCATGTCACTCATATTTACCACTTTCTTTCTCATGTGGCCTATTTAGATTCATATTCTAGGCAGCACAAAAATCAGCATGTATGAGTTTCATAGGAAGAAAAAAATGAACAAATTATTGACAGAGAATATTTCTTACTTTTCTGACAATAATTAACTTGTCGGGAGCATGAGAAAATAATGTATCAAACGCATCTCGTTCTAAAAGTAAAAGAAAAAAATACACAATATCGATATTTTAAAGAGATGAGATGCTACTACACAAATTGAAATACCATAAATACATAGCGAATGTGATTACATTTATATCTCAGTGATTAAAGAGCCAAAAATCTCAAATTGAAGGTAACATCAGTAATATACACCAATATTGTAAATGGGTCTGAAAGATTCTGTCAAATAAGGAAATTTATGCATGGAAAGTTTAATCCAAGGATGTTACTATATAGCATCTGTCTTTTCACACACAGTGGTGGAATTTAGATGAAGGAATGTCACAGACACTTTATTGGCATATAGTGGAACATCCACAAATGTAATAGAAACAATCACCAACTGTACTTATAGTTGGAGAAAAAATTGTCAACAGGCAGTGCCCACTACAGGAAAAAGCATTGGCCTTTTTCTTGATGTTCAGTTGTAGAGCTCACGGTTGATGAGTAATCTTGCTTTTTTGGTATAAGCAGTTTGTGGCTTGAAACCCAAAGGTGTGGCCACAATCTACTTCATACATTGGTGGAGCCAGTCACATAACCACTGGACTTTAGGAAGTAGTAATAGCAAAGCCACAATCGTACTTACGATGCAAACTGGTAGTTAGCTAAACCGTTTACACCCAAAAAAGGATTGTAAGCATACTGGCTTTATATAAAGGAAATGGTTCAATAGGTATTGTCAGAACAGATGAAATTTTATCAACATAGAATAATGTAGATTTGGAATGTCAGTATACTACTCTAAATCACCTTATTGTGTGAGACCAGTTTACTAATTGCTAAGATAAAGATTGTGTTGATTAAGCCAACTTCACTGTACAAAAATAACATAATAAACAATAAAACAATGCTTACCAAAATTTCCTCCAATTGCTCTGAAAAAGTAAAATAATTAATTTCATAATAAACTAATAATATTATACAAATAACGAATGTTTATGAGTGTAATGGGAAGAACATTTTCATGAGTTGAAAGATTGGTTGTTCCATTCAATGAGGCAGAGTAGAGTCAACAGTCAATCTTTCAGTGAGCCTCAATTGAGGCCTATGCTAGGCCTCGCTTGGCTAATGGATTAGAGAAGATGCAGATTTTATATTTTTTAACTGCTGTCCCAATTAAAAGAAAAATCATATAAATAATGAAATATGAAAAAAAAAAATTTTATAATATGCAAAAAAAAAAAGAAGATAATCTAAGAATACCAACCCTTGCCCTGCTGTCACAATATATCTTTGTATCCACTAGTTGTTGTTGAATTGTAGCGGTATAATATTACTATATTACTAGCTATAGATATCAGGTGGAATGTAGCCAAGCAGTTAAAAAAAAAAAACAAAAAACAAAAAACAAACAAAAAAAAAACAATCAAGAGTAAGATTTGAACCCCATATGTTCGATTAACTTTACACACAAAACGTGCATCTTTACCGCTCTGCCACATCTCACTTTGATCCAAGTAGTATATTTAATAGTATGTGATCAGTATTCACTACACTAGTAGATACTACACTGTACAAATACTACCTTATATTTTAATACAGTTGAACTTGCCCAAGTCGAATCCAAACTGCCATTGAAAAATTGTTCGACTTACGTAAAATTCGACTTACAGATTGTTAATTAATGGAAAACAAAATAGTTTGGCATGTAAAATAAGTTTGACTTAGAAATTATTCGAGTTAGGCAAGGTCGACTTAGGCAAGTTTAACTGTATATCATAGCACAGCATATCCTGTCGTACTATACTATAAAAACATTGGCTTACTCATTTGCCTTGGTGATTGTTTCTGACACTCTCTTGGAAACTAAAACATTGTCTTTTTTCTTTAAAAAAACAAAAAAGCAACAAAAAACAAATCAATGCACAGATATAACCAAGCAAGTACACAAATAAAACAATCTTAATCTTAATAGTGTTTGGATTTATAACACAGAGGTTAAAGGCACACTTGTCGATGGTGGTGAAGCAAGTCTTCTGTACGCAACTGGCTCATGAACACTTTAAAGAACCAAGTACATCTTTCGGGGTACTGATCCATACAGACTGTTATCAGACAAGAATGGCACCGAATTACAGAGTAACTCGAGCACAGCGATCCTTTGGGGAGGACGTTACTGTACAAGGTAGTCGAGCGCTTTGAGAATTCGGTGTAACATGGTATGTATATCAAACTACATTTCATTACCTGGATAACAACAACACTGACGGACACATCCTCTGGGATCTTGATAGGTGCCTTAAAATGGAAGGCGAGTGACACCAGGAGATGCAGGATGGATATCAGGTTCTTGGAGTGAATACCTGTGAAGGTGACATGTTATATTATTACAGTAGTTGAAAAAGCAAGGAGGAAGATAGAAAATAGAAAAAAGGTTATTAGTTATTATTGTGTACATACAAATGATGATTTAGATATTGATATTTGATGAACTGAAGAACATAATGATGATGACAATGATAGGAACAATAATTAAGGAGGGAATAAAGATTATGATGGGAATAATGATTATGACGATGATAATGATTATGATGCTGACAGTGATGACAATAATCAAGGTTAACAATCTTTATGTATGTTTAAAGTATTCTGGTATATTTCAATTTTGATATTTATGTTATTGTATTTCAATTGTACTTGATTTTGTGTCAATGGACATTCTATAAATCAAAAGAAGTCAAAAGAAGAAACAAGGACCCTTACTGTCAACACTCCATTTCTGTTGTTTCTGATTTCCACTAAGTTTCTCGACAGCTTCCAATACCATCTGAAGTTTCTGCTTCTGAAATACTGTCGACTGCATCACCTCGCGTACCTCAAATTTATTTCCTGTCAGTTTTTCTGATTTGAATATAATTTTAATCAATGAATTACATTCTTTATTCGAGCTAGCTTCAATAAATAGTATTAAAATTGATAATAAAATGTTATATACAGAGAGGGATTGTTGACCACCATTTTTAACTGGCCAGTTTCAACATAATTTCTAAAAAAAGAACAGATCTAAGTTGGACTTGTGTCTGTCTGGCCATGTCTTAAGCATGGTTACATTAGACAGTGCTTCTTTCATTATATTATCAGCTATTAATGTATTTTTGGTGTTAGAATAATAGCAAAGAGTATAAAACTGCAAGAGGTCCGACTGCCAGGGATTCTTTGGAACACAATCCTATTTCAAAAAGTACTACCCAAAAGGGGCATGGCCTTTAAAAGTATGTAAAGTGCGTTCATATCGAACGCGTGCAGTGCGTCTATAGAATGTAAGCTGGAATTCGAAAACGCAGCACGCGTTCGATACGAACGCCTTTTACGTTCTTATGGGAGTATTTTTGAACGTTCCATTGCCTGTATACAAAATAAAGGCAGTCGGACCTCTTGCAGTTTTATACTCTTTGATAATAGTAATATGTATACCATGTGACTATTTAAGAATGATCCCTGAAACTGTTGAATTATTTGATTGACAACCTACCATATAAGTTTCCTAAAATCTGTCCATCATGGAGATCTTCTTCAAGGTCTCGCACTATAATTCTCTGGTCTTTTAATTCAACATTGATCCAGTCAATCAAAACCTAAAAGAGATATTACACTTTTATTATAAATTATCTACATGAACGTTTTCATCCTTTATTGATTCTCTATAAATAACAATCATATATAATATTTAAAATGTTCTTAGTATAAAAATTGAAGAAATTATTACTTTGAAAATGAAAACTGCCACTACCACCAATATCAACACCACAGTCATCATACCCATCTGTAAATTATCACCAATATTCCCACAACCACCATCACCAATCCCAAAACATCACCAACACCACTATCACCAACACTACTATACCACCCCCATCACCATCATCATTAGCACCATCATAAACTACCGAGTTCATTGTATTTTGTAATGTTTTGAACAGTAGGCCTACTGTATAATGGATACCAAGTCAACAAAAAAATTGAGGCTACGTTCAGACTTGGAGTTAAGCCCAGCTCAACATTAAGCCCGATTTAACTCTGCCTGGCGTTCACACTAGCAGGGTTAGCCAAGCGCGAGAATTTGCATAATAATGAACCGTAACCAGGAAACGCGTTTCAAAACATTGCTCGCGAAACGCTAGTTCACAGTGTACGTAATTGAATGCTGATTTGTCATTTTGTTACCCGGAGTCAATGCAATTACCCCCGCAACGATTAAAGTCAGACTGGCAGGTGGATAAACCAGGTGAGTTGAGCCGGGTTTATCCACTTAGTCTGAACTAGGCCTGAATTACCTCCACTAATTCCTTCAGTTTAGCACTTTCTCTTGAAGAATTCTCAATCATTGAAATTTCTTGACCTTCATCTGTGGGGATTAGAGAGAAAATATATAATAATAATAATAATTGTATTATTTACTTCTGTTCTTTTTGATTGTTGGTCATAAAGTGAATTAAATACAAATATATAATACTAATTGTATTATTTACTTCTGTTCTTTTTGATTGTTGGTCATAAAGTGAATTAAATACAAATATATAAAACTATTGTTTAAATTAATTAAGGTTTTTTGGTAAGAAGTGAAGGTCATTATAAACAGGAAGGGAATTTCAGAGAATGGGAGTACTGGGTTGATTTCATATGTGACAAAGACAAGCCAAACCAGTCAATCATCGCAAATCCTGTATAGGAGATAATGGCCAAAACATGCTGAAATGTCAAAATTTGTGAATTCTATTTTATTGCACTAAATTAACCTTTATTCATCTATATATCATGCTATGCTGTTTTTTCCTCATTTTAAATGTTAAAACAACAATTTTTAATGATTTGATTTGGTTTCTGCCTAAGAAATGCCTGAAACTTTAAAGACTGATTTCTCAAATATTGTTCTTAAAACAGCTGTATGGTTAAACTCCTGTAACTTCATAACGAAATGTTGGATTTAAATGATTCTTTTACCATTTTATACTCTCATTTTACCCTTTAACTCTGTATTAGTAAACTAAAAATTGATTTTTTGCGACGAGTGATTGGTTTGGCTTGTCTTTGCCACATATGGTAACAGGTGAGTACAATATTGGTACAGCAATAATAATAAATGATTTGTGAATTGTCAGGGCATCAATCTTCCTTACTCACCTAACACAAGGTTTTCTGTTGAAAAATCCAGCAACATGCCTGGTGATTCCAAGGCATATCTCCCTTCTTCTGCCAAGTCATCAACTGCAAAACAAAAATCATTTAATTTGCCTCAATTAAAATTATGTTTAAAGGTTGTGTGGTCTGGTAGAGTAAAAACATTGGAGATTCATGGTAGCCAGCCTGCTACGAGGAGGAAATACCAACAATTAACAGGTTATGGGATGAAGTACAAAAAACTACAAGTACTACTAAACAGGTGTGACTACCTTACAAAGAATATTATTGAATCTAATACTAACCATCAAAAAGTAGTTTGAAGGGGCAGACATAAGTCATTCTATACAATATACTGAGCTTTGTATGATATAATCAAATAAAACATGGATCAAAAATCTTTGATTTTTACAACAGGTTTAAGGTTAAAACAACTTCTATGATACTCTAGGCTCTATGCTTGGTTACATCATTCATAGAAATACCTTCCATAGTTACATGCACTCTTGGGTCCCAAGTCTCCTCGAAATTAGCATGGTCCCCAACACACTTTTGAGACAAGCAAACATCTCTTGGAAACTAATAATAGGCCTAGGCCTATATTTCCTGTAAATTCTGAATGTCACATTTCCCCAAACGTCAAGTTTGTACCCACTGGCAGTGACCGGCGATATTCATTACATTGGATGTATATCCTAAATACCATCCGAAACAAAACACTGAAATGGCTAGGCCTGGGCAGGACAACTGACACAGCTACTAGCTAGGCCTATCACCTCTCCGCCTCGGCTAGCTAGGGCCAGGGAGGTCATTCGCTTCTCAATGCATCCAACCACAGAAAGAGGCGTTCCTCAAACTTTCATAGTACAGTATCACACAATTTAATCTAAACTTTAACAGATATTATCAAACTTAATTTTGTTAGAAATTCAACCACACAATTCAGTAAATACAAGTTAATATTTTTGTTACTTTTCATATAAGAATTTCAAAATTCTAAAGAATGTTATGATTCAGTATGCTATGAAATATGACAGGCACTCGATAAAGAGTAAAACAGGCCAAGTAAAAAATTGAAGGCCTCATGAGAGTACCCTAAAACTATGGTAAAATAATGTTGCCATAGTTATTAATACACAAAAATGGTATCAACCTTCTTTGTTGTCTTTTTCCTTTTTCCTACGACCTAATGTTGTAACTATGTTGAGGAAAGAGTCATCTTTTTTGTCCCTTTTCGGAGTAGTTGCCCTAGTAGTAGGTGAAGTAGCCATCTTCACTGCAGTGAGTAGCGGCGTATGTTTGTTGGGAGTGTACGATCAAATTTCCATCAATAATATGTACCATAGCGCCCTCTATAACTCTTGACAACCATAGCAAAGATCTACCGGGTAAATCTTTGAACGCTTTGAGGGAGAGTATAAGTACTGTACAATTTTCTATTTTTTACATTTTATTTATAAATAATTATACATAAATAACTTTATTGTTATATTATCCTTATGCATCCCAAATTTCACAAAATAGGGATGGACAATTTCTAAACAAACGTTTTGTAGATAATGAAAATAATATAGGCCTATAATTATATTAACTTCATTATAAGCTTTCAGAAACTCTCATCTATTGTTTTCTTTTATTGCTTATAATGTTGCCCTATATGGTTATAAAATAAGAATCAAGATTTAAGATTCATTTATTCGTAGCCATATATATAGCCATAGCTGTATTCCGAGCCGCATAGCTTGTATTCCACTATTTGCATTCACACCTGGACTGTGTATATATATTGCCTTGGTTTGGCTCCGTAATCATTAGTGGTCGTGGGACTAGTCTGGGCCCTACCTAAGCTGGTCGAACGTTTTGTTTGGGTCTGTACCCTAGCTGCACTGATGAGGCCTGGAAGGCCGAAACGGATCCGTCTGCAGATATTGGGATTTCTTCCAGTGGATGCTTAGTTTATTTTGTCATTCTGATCGGATTTTCTCTACTGTTCCGTTTTAATTTAAATTTTAAA